CCCCTGTTGAATGCGTTCTGATCTCTTTCGTGCGAATTCTCGTCTACCTTGTGAGAACGGGACAGAGGAGCCCGACTCCATCCGAGAGAAGAAACAGCATCATTGACAAAATTCCCACTGGGGATTAACTGGTTGAGTGATTGTACTAATAATCCCACTCCGAAACTACACAAATCGATAAATCTGCTCCCCCTCCAAAAAAAATAAATAAATAAAATCGCTTGTGAATGGATTTCGCATAGGTCTACTATTCCGGTAGGCACAGACCGTTATCGGTAATAGAATTTCGTGTGTGTGTGTGTGTGTGTGTGTGTGTGTGTGTGTGTGTGGAATGGAAGACAAACACAACACTGAATGTTTGGTTCATTTTCATCTTGCACTTTTCAGTAATACATGCTGTCCGTGTGTGTGCCCGTGTGCATCCGCACTTGACGGAACTCGAACCGCAAACGTTCGGGTTCGGGAAACCGAAACGTTTAAATTTTCCCCTGAGCCTCAGGGTCAACACCTCGAGCACCTAGGTGCAATATTTGAGATTGAAATACATTTTTTATATTCCTCGTGAGGTCGCACATACTAGCAAGGCTTTTGCACAATTATAATCTGTCGAGGGTCTCCCTCCATGTCCCCCCTCCCCCACCAAAAGAAGAACAACAGAGCGTAGCTCTATCGAGCCTGATAACCGTCTGTTTGCTTCGAATAGATAAATAACTGTCCGAGATGAAATGTTTGAACGAAATAAGTGCACATTCATTCACAATTTATGAAGAAAGCGGCCAAAAGCATTCCGCATTCACCATCTTAGATAGAGCATTTTTTTGTCATTAAGATCGCTTTACTTCAAGTTCTCACATTGAGCATTTTAAAGGTTCAGACTGGGAGTGACGGAACTCTGGGCGAAGATCAGCAATTCTTTGACGTTTGTCCATTCATGAGCATTCCCTTGTCCAGTGTGATAGAAGAGGCCTTTATCCAGTGCAACTGTGCTCCCACCACCCACTCGCCCATAAAGAAAATCCTAGACCATACTGTCATAGGGAATCGCAACCATTATGTAGTATTGAGAGACACAATTAAGACAGTTTCATTGGTTTAACCATGGGGTATTTGTATTCATATTCTGACAGTTTCGATTCAAGTGCGTACTTTATGAAAATGGTCATCGGTTGGGAAATGAACTATTCTGTTCTTCTACAAATTATTATGTAATTATTTCTGAAATATTTGTTGATATTTGTGTCCGGTATTTAGTCAAAATGATAATTTATCACACAATCTTTTCAATCAGCGTATCGGTGATCACTGGGATTTCCTTCTCTAATTTTGAATTTATTTTTTTCTCTCTGTTATCTCAGATCAGAGCAATGATTGGGCTTCGGTAAGAATATCCTCTTCGCTCGTGTCATGTATCGGATACTGGCCAATTTGTTGGCTATTTTCACATTGCCAAGCTATCTGTCCACACACGACTTAGGGAGAAATGGGACCAGTCGTCGCGATCAAGCAGTACCACAAATTCCACGAATTGTCGTTGCTCCCACAGATCAATATTCAACCGATGGATTCCTCGAATTTGTTTGTCGTGCCGAAGGTAACCCACAGCCCATCATACAGTGGTATAATTCCTCGGACAAGCAGTTGGTCACTGATCGAATTCCCNCAGCCGAATCGCTTTCGGGCATTCATGTCAATAAACATTACGGAAGACTGATGATCTCCAATCCTACTCGTGGCGTTATTTATTCATTCTATTGTAACGCATCAAATGAGGTCGGTTGGACTGTGAGCGACCGCATTGTCCAAGGCGGTGCAGCCTTTTTGGAAAATTCCTTTCGACGTTTGCCCAAGAACTACACTGTAAATGAGGGTGCAAATCTCACCATGATCTGTGAGCCTCCGGCCGGATTGCCTGAACCCGTCGTGTTTTGGATGAGAGACGGTAAACCGCTTGGCTCCTCGCATGAAAATACTACGGATGCGATGGTAACCAATGCACCGAATTTGTTTTTGCCAAACCTCATGACAGTGACACCAGAGGGTCATCTCTATATTCCTCAAGTTCAGTTGACTCATTCCGGTCGGTATATTTGTGCAGCTCGAAATCTGATCGCAGAGAGATATGCCCCAGCTGTGGAATTGACGGTCAAATCTTCGGTCACATTTATTGAAACACCGAAACATACTCGAGTGAG